TTTAGGTTTAAGCCTATACTACTGGAAAATGCAAATCAACCCCAATTAAAACCAATAATTTGATATACATCATGATATTTTTCTAGGGGGGGGTAAAAAAATTTCTAGGGGGGGGTAAAAAAAATTCGGCGCGCTTCGCTCGCCAAATTAAAAATATTTACCCCCCCTACAAAATCCTTATATCCGCCCCTGGTAGAGCTTTTTGTAATAAGTTGGCACAAACGATATTCATTAATTTGTAGTGATTTTTAGTTTTTAGGATTTTAAATCAATTAAAAACAATTTTGAATGATAAACCGTAATGTTTTTTAGAGGAGCATATGGCACTGTAGTTTTAGGCCAATGGAAAGGGGAGAAATGTGCTGTCAAGGTAATAAAAAAATATAGGAAAGATTATAAAAAAATTTTAACTGATTTTGAACACAGTTCAGAAAAGCTTGAATTTAATATATTGAGAAGAACTTTAACCAATTTCTCTTTTGTTGGTTCAAAATTAAAATCTAGGATTTTCATAAATTCAGAGTCTGAAAACTTGCTCATTGTTTAACCAAACGCACAATTTTTCTAACTTTGCGCATATTGGTGTAGTGCTAGTTAGAATAAGCTTTATCAATAGTAGTAATTGGGAAGCGTTATTATGGCCAGTGTAGCTTCTGAAAACAATACATGGCCAAAAAAACGGTTAATGTGGCTGTCAACGTAATAAAAAGTATTGAAATAAAAGCAGTTAATGTGGCTGTCAACGCAATATCAAGTGTTGAAATAAAAGCAGTTAATGTGGTTGTCAACGCAATATCAAGTGTTGAAATAAAAGCAGTTAATGTGGTTGTCAACGTAATATAAAGTATTGAAATAAAAGCGGTTAATGTGGTTGTCAACGCAATATCAAGTGTTGAAATAAAAGCAGTTAATGTGGCTGTCAACGTAATATCAAGTGTTGAAATAAAAGCAGTTAATGTGGTTGTCAACGTAATATCAAGTGTTGAAATAAAAGCAGTTAATGTGGTTGTCAACGTAATATAAAGTGTTGAAATAAAAGCGGTTAATGTGGTTGTCAACGTAATATAAAGTGTTGAAATAAAAGCGGTTAATGTGGCTGTCAACCTAATATCAAGTGTTGAAATAAAACGTCACACCTGAGTTCAGGACTTTATTCAGCAAATTTTAACATTCATATTTAGTAAAGTTAAAACCTGCAAAAAAATTCAATCAATTACAAAATAATGATAAAACAAACTAAAAGACAAAGGTCTTGGTTTGGAAATCTCAGAAAAGAACTTTGTATTAAAACAAAAATAATTTAAAATTAAGAAGTTTGTCTAAACTGCATTGATACAACTATAATCAAGTGTTATTTCCTTCACAGCAATTTAAAATAGGAAAGAAGTTATTTACAGTACCTAAAGAAGCCATAAAAGTAGAAGTTACTGGACATTTAGTCCAGTTTGAGTGGTGGTTTACATAATTCTGAAATTTTGTTTGTTTAATGTTAAATCAATGTTCACAATATCAAATTTTAAGATTATTTAATGACGCAAACTTGCTAATTCATTAGTATGCTGATCCATGTCTTTCTTATATAATAATGATCTCCTTTACACACATGTGTGAAAGATCTGTGCAGAGGAAAGGTAGGAATTTAATACTCTGGAGTTTCCAGGTATCGAATTATGACTTAAGTAGGACGACATTTGCTTTGATATTTTAACTCAAGTACCCCTCCATATTAAAAATAGACCCGATTCTTAGCAAAAATTTGGAAAATATCCTTTTTTATTCCAAAGTTGAAAATTCTTTTTTGTTTTTCTTTGTTACATGTAGCAAAGACATAATTTACAGAATTCAACATTTAAAGACGATAAAGCACAAATATCTTCCTCATAGCTCAGGGTTCCTCCCAGAGCAAATTTGGGTCAGTTTACCTGACCTGCTGCACTTTCAGATTTGGAAAACTACTGCAAATTTTGAGAAACGTGCCAATTTTGTAGAAAAATCTGCCCATTAGGAGAACAGAACTGCAGATTAAGCAATTAAGTGGAAAAGTCTACCAATTTTAGTCAAAAATACCAATCGAGATATTCAGTTGGTAACGTTTTTCATATTTCATAAATAAATAACTGCCATAAAGTGTGCCACAAATAATGTCTTGGCACATAAAATCTGCCACATATGCGATAGAAGATCGGAAAAACTGCCACAAACATATTCCAAATGCATAAAATCTGTCACACAAATTATGAAGAGCTTAAAATCTGCCACAAAATTATGTTACATAACAAATGCCACAAGTTGTACTCTGACACATAACACCTGCTACAAATGTAATTGAAGCATAGAAAATCTGCCACAAACATAATCCAAATGCATAAAATCTGCCACACAAATAATGAATGAGCTCTGCCACAAAATTATGTTATATCAAAACAAATGCACCAGTTATGCCCTGACACATACCACCTGCTACAAATGCAATCAAAGTTTTAAAAATATGCCATTTTTATTATTTAAAATTATAAAATATGTCGCAAACATATTTCACCGCAAAAAAATGCTTCAAGTTATGTCTTGGCACATAAAAAGTATCCAAATGGAAACACATGGAAATGCTACAATTGTAATAAAATCTCATAAACTAGGCCACAAAAAGATCATCTAATTGCATATTATATTCAGAAGGGGAAGGGGACATTATCCTGCAAATGCACAATATCTTCTCAATACAGGGGGGGAAGGGGGCGGTGCCCCACCTAGACCTGTAAACGGGAGGCGTAGCCCCCCCCCCCTAGAAATCAGAGTTTTCTCACTTTTCAAATCTAAAACTGAAGAGTCAAGAACATAAAACAAATCATCAGTTTTTATCTGCTAGTTTGTTTTTGCCCCCCTAGGAGCTCCACGGGGGGGAGGGGGGCAAAAAATATTTTGAGCTTCGTGCATATTTTGCCTCCCCCCCCTCCCCCGACTCCCCCCCCAGATTTATTTCTGTTTACGACCTTGTTCTCAATTATAGCTTGTTAGAGAACAAAATCATGTTTTAAAACAGACAAAATATATATCTAAAGTAAAACATTCTGTGTTGTTAGTTGAAATCAGTTTTTTAGCCTTGATTCATAAATCTTAACATCTTCCGAAGGTTTTCACTTTAAAAAAAAAGTTATTTTTGATTGGGAAAATTTTTATTGGAATTAGGAAATGCTCTCACAGACAATAATTCACTATCTGTGCGAGGGTGGGGGGGGACAAGTTTAATTTATTTAATATTTCGTTCTTTTAAATAATCTCAGATCAGCTTGGATAAATAAATTTCTTAATTTCTTATTAAATGGTTGTGAGTGCCATTTCAAATAAACCTCCACTCAAAGATGGCAAACCTTGTTTCACAACCTTGTTTCTAAATTGCTATCTCTGATCAAGCACAAGTTATAAACTAATGTACATAACTTTGAAAACTGACTATTTTCAATTGTAGTTTCTCTACTAAAGTAATATGGCCATTTCTACTACAGTAGAATATATAGGAAATATCTCAATTAAACACTTGTAAGATTAAAACCACAGATCAGGGATACAAGGATACCTAGCTATGTGAATCGGGAATTGACATCTTTGCGTGGAGGGTCACTTGAAATTAGGCTTACAGTCCCTTTAATGTTGTTTTCAGGTTATGGAAAAGGAGCAAGGAGTAGGAGTAAGTGCTAGACGAAGGAAATCTCTGGAAAGTGAACTCCAGGTTTATAATTATATAATTCTAATATTTCAACTCATGAGTTCCATCAATAAACCAATCCAATCTATATTTGACAAAAACTTGATTTTTTCAGTAAAATATTCTTTAATAGCTGGCTAATTAAAATTGGAAATTAACATTTTTTGTGATTCATAAGATTAGAAAACTAAAAAAACATTCTAATTTTACTAAAGTTTTTATTTCAATTATTTATTAACTCTGCTCTGCTAAAACACACTATTTCATCGGTCAGTGTATTGCATATCCACACACCGAAAGCATAAGGTGGTACATGAAACCTATGCAAAGCAAGCCAAATTTCTGGAGTTACTTAAAATCATAATAATTTTAAGGCTTTGAAGTTAGAACATGAAAATATAGTCAAGGTTCATGGAGTATTTGCAGCAGAAGAAAGGTGGGAAAATTTTATTTATTTGTTAGGACAAATCTTCTATCTTTCTAAGTTCTGACTCGTCTTCTCTCTTTCTAAGTTCTGTTACATTTTCTATATTTCTAAGTTCTGGCACATCTATCTTTCTAAGTTCTGACTTGTCATCTTTCTCTCGATGTTTTAACACATGAGTTGTGCTGTTATTTATTAAAACTTTCTTTCTTTGTTTGCCCCAAGTGCACTTCCTTGGAACCTGAAAAATATAAATATTGCCATGAGCTTTAATTGCATTTTGGATAATTGGCTGTGCTTTGCATCAGACCTCTGATCATGTAAGACTCATTATACAATACATTGCAAGTCCTGTTGTAGGTTGTTGCAAGATATCTTTGTGATCCAGCATCACTCACTTGTAGCATCTTTCAACAGTAGTGTGGGAGCAAGAGAGGTGCTGGGGCTTAGGTTTTTAGCCCTGATGGCGGTCTGGGCTCTCCAAGATTTTCTTATATCCTTTCCTTATCTTATTGTATGTTTAGGTATTCCGTGATAATAATGGAGTATGTTGGGAGTAGAAATTTACATAGATTGCTCATTGAGACTCCAGATAAAGTCTTAGGTAAATTTTACTGGTAAAACAGGCATTTAAAATTTTAAAAAAAAATATGAAAGGACTAGAAGGATTTTATCCTATCGAAAAGACTGTTCAGGGAGATTAATTCTTGAAAATGATCTGTTGTATAATTCTAACACTTTGTTCAAATTTACTAAAACTTTTCTATCACTTAATATTTTTTTCTTTGATCAATCAAATTGAAAATTGAAAAATCAAATAAATTGTATAATTATGCATCTTTCAAATAACCCTCAATACAAAGATGGCAATGCCCGATTTACAATGGTACCCTTAAACGCATTGTTTAATGAAGTATGAATTAGTTAACAATGTTATTTCTTTGTTTTTCTTTAATGTTTGTTTTCATTTGCGAGTTCTCTTACAGAAATGAAAAAATGATTTTTTTGGAAATTAACAATTTCCGAGTCAAAAAACAACGTTATTTTCCGCAGTTTTTATCAGGTTAAGGTTTCAACGGTACCGTTGTAAATCAAGCATTAGCACACTTGCATGGAGGGTCACTTAAAATTATACTTACAGTCCCTTTAAGTTCTCATTAAGTATTCATTTTGATCAGGTAGAAGTTGGTTATTGGGTGTTGGAAGGCAGATCAGCTCAGCTTTAAACCATTGTCACTCCAGAGGAGTTGTCCATATGGATATCAAGGTTAGCGGTTTTAAGGGTATCCGATATGATTATCAATTAGTTTCTGGGATAATATCGAGTAATTTTACCTGCCTGTACCTTTTACAAGTTTAAAGGGATTGTGAGCATAATTTCAAGTGACACTTAATTCAAAAATAGCAATGTCCGATTGACATTGGTATCATTAAAAGCTTTGTCTGATCTAGTGTGAATTATATTTTCTTATTTTTGTTTCTTTAAACTGCTCATTTTTATTTGAGGTTTCTCTGTGAAAGTGACATGCACATTTCTTGCTTGTAAGAAGCAATAAAAAAATTCTCAGAAAAACGACGATATCTTCCACGTTTTTGATCAGAAAGGGTGCAAGGGCAAAATCGGACCTTTCCATCTTTGCAGGGAGTTACACTTGAAATCGTGCATTCAAGATGAAGTTGTACATTTTTAGTATCTGTTAATGAAAAAGAAGTAACCCAATTGATATAACAAAACGTTCTTATTTATAGATTAATAATGTCACTGAATAAATGTAACCAGGTCTATATTTCTGCTCATTATCAAGGTTTAAAAATTGGCACAATTGAAAGGACACCATGTATTAACTTTTGTCTATTATAGCCTGCTAAGTGCTAATATACTTGTCTATTATTGCCTGCGAAGTGCTAATATACTTGTTTATTTTAGCCTGCTCGCATACTCTTTTTATTATGGCCTGCTAATATACTTGTTTCTTATAGCCTGCTAATATACTTGTTTCTTATGGCCTGCTAATATACTTGTTTATTTTAGCCTTCTGACATACTCTTTTATTATTGCCTGCTAATATACTTGTTTATTATCGCCTGCTAATATACTTGTTTATTATAGCCTGCTAATATACTTGTTTATTATAGCCTGCTAATATACTTGTTTATTATGGCCTGCTATTATACTTGTTTATTACAGCTAGGGCGTCATTACTGGAGAATGATAGGTTTTGGAACAAACAGAAGGGAACAGAACAGAACGCACTATTTCAAAAAAGTAGGAATGATCGTTCTTTCAAGGAAACAAATGGAATGTAACTGAATTGAACGAACAATTGAAATAAGTAGGAACACAGCCACCACTAATTGTAGCCTTCTAACATACCTATTTATTATAGCCAGCTAATGTGCTTGTGACAAGTAGTGGAGTATGTAAGCTTGGAGATTTTGGCTGCAGCGTAGGTGTGGACTCGGGGGATGTACCCCTTGGTAAGCATTTTATGATAACTATCTACTGCAAGCCTCCTGGTAACATTTTTCTTTCTTTTTTTTGCCAATGTGACTAAGATTAAAAGCATCTTGGGGCCAATTTTTACCTTAAATTTTGAGGGGTATCTAGATCAAACACCATTGATTGATTGACAATGCAAATAAATCTTCTAATATTTGTAGATCACAGTTTGGTTGGTACTCCTGGATATCAAGCTCCAGAATTCTTGAGAGGTGGGCTTCCCCATCCTCTCTGTGATGTTTATTCTTTTGGAATTCTTCTATGGCAGTTGGACTCCAGAGAAGTTCCATTCCAGGTATTACCTTTTTCCTTTGGGGTGAGTTAAAACCTTTGGCTCAATCCTAGTTTTCTGGATTTATGCCCCCCCCCCCCTTAACATCCAATTTTGCAATCTCAAAAAAATAAATAAATGCTGATATTTAATTAAAGACGAATATACTAGGAAGGCCCAGCCTACCACCTCATTGTGCACAACTGGGGGATAGCATAACTCAAATCCAGAATTCAGAAAAATTCTTAACTTTTCTGGAGCAACACCTCTAATTACAATGGCTAGGATGTTTCAGAAGGCTAAAAAAGGGGAGAGGGGTTCTGACATCACACACATACAAGATGGAGGATTTGGGAATTTAGAAAATGTGCACCCATAATATTTTATCCACTCATTTAACAGAAATGAGGAGTACTTTAAAGATACCCCTTTATAAGGGGGTGGGGGGGGGGAGTAGATATTTGAACCTTTGATGAAAAGGGGGGTTGCAAATCCTTTAAAAAATCTATATTTTACATTGTTGTGACAGGGCCAGCACCCTCAGACAATTATGTTCCGTTGTGTATCTGAAGATGCTAGACCTTCAACACCCACCAGGCACTTCATTAATCTACCTGGATTTAAGAAAATATACTTGTAAGTATACACTATCCAGGGGTTTATATTTTCTTACCTTCCACACCCACCAGGCACTTTATTAATCTACCTGGATTTAAGGAAATATACTTGTAAGTATACACTATCCAGGGGTTTATATTTTCTTACTTTCAACACTCACCAGGCACTTTATTAATCTACCTGGATTCAAGAAAATATACTTGTAAGTATACACTATCCAGGGGTTTATATTTTCTTACTTTCAACACTAACGGCACTTTATTAATCTACCTGGATTCAAGAAAATATACTTGTAAGTATACACTATCCAGGGGTTTATATTTTCTTACTTTCAACACTCACCAGGCACTTTATTAATCTACCTTGATTCAAGAAAATATACTTGTAAGTATACACTACCCAGGGGTTTATATTTTCTTACTTTCAACACTCACTAGGCACTTTGTTAATCTACCTGGATTCAAGAAAATATACTTGTAAGTATACACTATCCAGGGGTTTATATTTCCTTAAAAAATATTTTTTCCCCAAGATTTAAGTTCAGTATGTTTGCTATGAGTGCGAACAATTGTTCAGCAATTAAATTACTAAAGGACAGTTGCATAAAACAAAGAATTATAAGAGTTATAAAGGGATATATCAAAAGTTTACCAAAAATTTGGTTCATATCCCAAAATTCCATAATCCATAAGAATAACCCTTTTATTTGTTCCAGAAGGGGGTTGATCAAAAAAGATGTACACTGTACAGTGAGCAAACTGATTTGTGATTATGCTTTAAGTTGGTTAAAATTATAGAGTATGTTAAGGCCACCACATTTATGTTTACAAATGGACCTTTGGATGGTTTGTATTAAACTTTTTATAAATTATATTGTTGACATGTATCTTGTTTTTAGGTCATGTTGGAGTAGTGATGTGAACGATAGACCTACAGCCTGTACAATACATTCTAGGTAGCAGATGTTTTATTTTGAACGTGTCAGTTTTGGGGGGTTCGTTGGCTGGTCTTCATGAACTTTATCTAATTGTTGAATTTAAAAAATAAAAAAACTTATAAATTTCAATTCACTCAAAAGTTGCAGTTTTTGAATTTTGAATAAACAATTTTTTAAAAGAAACATGTTTTAAAAAAAAATTTAATTTCTTTTCTATATAGGTTAGTGTCTCTGTTAAGTTCTCTATCAGCTCCTACATCTGCTAGAAGCATGACAGCTTTAAGGATCTAAAACATCAAGATAATGTCATTATTGTCGTTTTGTTTGATAATCTAACCCTGAGTCATCCTACAATTTGTTGTCTTCCAATCCTTCAACAGAAGAAGAACTCGGGAGAAGGTAAATGCATTTTTTTAAATTGGTATTTTGATCTTTTTCTGTCCTAACATCTGATTGGGTGTTCATTAAATGCTGATGGAGTTATTTTCTTAATTGAAAACGTTTAATGAAAATAAATTTAGTTGTCATCTTGTTTGATTCGTTTTTTATTGTTTTAGAATATTTGGGCTTTCAGATTGCTTCATAAAAATCTATGTTTTTCTTATTTCTTATGTCACTGGAAGAGTAGGCCGGAACAACAACAAAAAACAGTATCTTTTTAACAAACGATATCATAACATACTGTCATATAACATTATTGGAAAACGTAATTTCAAGGTCCGATTTATAATGGTACCCTTAATGGTTTGTATGTTCAAGAATGAATAAGGTACCCATGCTCCTGTTTTTGAAAACTATTTTTTTAGTGGGTTTTTTTGCAAAAAATAATTGCCTGTTTTTGGCATCTGTGAAAGAAATTTTCGCAGTTTAACAGAATATAAACGACGCTATCTTGTATAATATTGATTAGCTTTAAGGAAACCGTTGTTAACTGGCCATGTCCCTCAATTTTAGATCAGTTAAACTTTTAGATTTCTGAAGGATCTTAAAGGTCATCAAAACTGAAATATAAAAAAGTCCAAATATTTAGGCCAATTTTTTTCGAAATATGGATATAAAAATGTCATAATTAAAGGGAGTGACCGGCAATGTATCGTAGTTGAACTGAGATTGAAGTTTTGTAAAGAATTTTTTTAGGATTCTTGAGACCTTTCAAGATGTTTTTACCTTGCATATTTGTTCAGCAAGAGCTCAAATTCAATTTTTAAAATTATCTTTTAATGTCCATTCTGGAGAGATGATTTTGAGAATCGGGTTTTTAAAAATTATTCAATAACAACGACGATAAATCTAACAAAAATTCTAAAGTCAACTAATTGGTTCTTTATGAACATATTTCACAAAAGAAATTTGTCAATAAATCAATGTTAAAATCAATCATTTCCATTTCATCATAATATTGAATTTCATATTCTTTACAAAGGGGGGGGGGCCACAAAACGTATTACTCTCCGGAAAATTTAAACAGTGTTTAAACATAACTTAGAATTGTCGTAGGAGGCTGATTTTTTGCATGCAAACTCAGAATTATGTATATTACGTGCATTTTTTGGTTTTGAAGGAATCTGAGCAAAAGTGCGTGCGCGCGCGCGTTTTTTTGTGANGTTGAATTTTTTTAGCGCATATTTGTTTCAAGAGTGTCAGGAAAAATTTTCAAGTGCAATTAATGAAGTTAACATTGATTTACTGTCAAAAAAGTCGCATTTTTTCACAAAAAACGCGCGCGCGCGCGCACTTTTGCTCAGATTCCTTCAAAACCAAAAAATGCACATAATATACATAATTCTGAGTTTGCATACAAAAAATCAGCCTCCTACGACAATTCTAAGTTATGTTTAAACACTGTTTAAATTTTCCGGAGAGTAATACGTTTTGTGGCCCCCCCCCTTTGTTCGCAGATTTCTTTAAATTCTTCAAATGTCGTCTTCTCAATAAACATGTAGGAAATCTACAGAAAACTTTTGTGAACAATGAGACATTACAGAAACTAAGAACTGAAAAAGATTTGTTATTTTGGATGATAGAGGTATTTTTTATTTTCTCAATCTGTTCCTAAACAACTTATTAGTTTACTGTCGAAGTTTTGTTACATTTTTCGTGGTCGTCATTGAATAATGAAAAAAACGATTCTCAAAATCATCCCTCCAAAAATGGATTTTCTATGAGGAATTTAAAGATTTATTTTGCGCTCTTGCAGAACAAATATGCACTGTAAAAACGTCTAATGGGTCTCAAATGAATTCTAAAAAATTACTCTACAATACTACCTTCTCAGTTCAACTACTGTACATTGCCGGTAACTCCCTTTAAAGGATGTACAAAGTTGAAATGAATATTTAAATTAAGTAAATGATAAGATGATGTTCAGGAACCTGTGTGGAATCACAACAAAGATGTCAACAAACACATATTTTTCTATAAATGTGCACAAATGAGATTGCATAAATATTTTAACTAGTTTATTGTTGTTTAGTTAGAAGTTGTTTAGTAACACTTCATTATGTTATAAATATTTTCCCTTCTCGTCTACAAACAGGGATGTATATTTTTTTTAATTAACCCCCTCCCCCCTCGGAACCTCTGGGGGAAAATATTTTTGATGATCTGCGATAGAAAATAAAAAATTGGAATGAAAAGGCAAGTTTTTTATCCTTTTCCATACTTACTCAACATTTCATTTATTTTCTCCTAAACATTCCAATTACCAATTTTTCCCCAATTCAGCCAAAGATGATTTTTGAAACAATTTTTCAGGAAAATATTCACCCCTGTCTATAGATGTTGGGCCAATGACCTTGTTAATCTGACATGAATACGACCTCCACAATGAAATTTTTGGTCAAGTTTTATAAATCAACATTATGATAAAATTATTGTGCGGGCTTATTGAAGGTTTTATTAGATTTCAAAATTTCTTTTTTTTAAGTCGTAGGGTTTCACTCTAGTTCAGCCCGCCTTATTCTGTTGCATAAAACGCGTTGGGTCAACCACCTACTTGGTACACTAGACGGGCCGGTACGGTTAGGACTAGATTGCAGCATCCTTGTACTGGCTCGGATATGCAACTTCTAAACTTGTGTAACGTTTAAAGGATGCCTTTTTTGAATTTTTTAAATTTTGAAATTTAACATGAACTTGAATAAATATAAGCCGTGCGCCATTATATATTGTAAATATATCTGTGATTTATTTATTATAGATGTTAGGAAGTCAAATTATTTTAATAACTTTTATTTTTTTGTTCAAAAAACATATTTTATAAAATCCATTTGACTTCCATATAGTTTTGTAAGCTGTGATGTATGTATAGGTATAGAAAATTCTTAGGAAAAAATTCTAATCATTTTATGAAAATCACAAAATAAGATTAGTAGACAAAAGTATAGATCTATTCAATAAAGATTAAATCTTTCAATTTGTTTTATTTGGAAAACTTTTGACTATCAATTATAACTCTAGTTAGGACGCAAATGTTTTCTTATTCTCGATTTCTTTTTTATTTTAGTGGAAATTGGGCCTCTGAACTAATAATCGAAAGGCTTTTATGTGTATTGTTAAAATTTCTAACTCCAGTCGTAACAGTTGTCTTCTTATTCCCCAGTAATATGGGTCAAACTTAAAAAAAACAAGAATTTGTTAATATTTTTTAGCATGTCTGAAAATATGCACAGGACCAATCTTTTTTGAGAATTCTTAGTGTCTAAAGAAGGAGCGAAGACTACAACCATTCAGCATCTGATCTGTTACAACTTCTATATGATCTATTGCAACTATATCTATGATCTGATCTATTACAACTATATCTATATGATCTGTGGTCCCTGGTATCCATGGTCTGATCTATTGCAACTATATCTTTATGATCTGTGGTCCCTGGTATCCATGATCTGATCTATTGCAACTATATCTATATGATCTGTGGTCCCTGGTATCCATGATCTGATCTATTGCAACTATATCTATATGATCTGTGGTCCCTGGTATCCATGATCTGATCTATTGCAACTATATCTATATGATCTGTGGTCCCTGGTATCCATGATCTGATCTA